CTCTTGCCTTATTGACCTAGCTAGAACTTCCAACACAACACTGAACAGGATGGGTGATAATGAGCATTCTTGTTTGGTACTGATCAAAAGGGGAATGTCTTTAGTCTTTCTCCATTGTGAATGATGTTGGCTCTTGGTTTTGCATATATACTTTTCACTATATTGAGGAAATTCCCCTCTATTCCTATTTTGCTGAGTGTTTTAATCAGAAAGGGGGGTTGGATTTTGTAGAGGCTTTTTCTGCATCAATTGATAGAATCATGTGGTTCTTGTTCTTTGTTTTATTTAAGTGATGAAATATATTGTTTTTCTTATGTTGACCCATGACTGCACTATTATGAATCCCACTTGATTGTGATGTTTTTTTTTTAAATATGTTGTTAAATTCTATTGGCTACAGTTTGTTATTAAAGATTTTTGCATGTATCTTAATGAGACATATTGGCCTACAGTTTCTTATCAGTAATGTCTTTGTACCTTTGGTATTAGGGTTATGTTCGCCTCAGAGAATGACTTAATTTCTTCTTTTGTGATGGGCCTGTTCAAAAATGTTCCACTTCCGTTTGTGTCAATTTGGGTCATAAAAATGAATTGACAGGGAGCTCCGGTGGCCTAGTGGCAAGAAGCTACATTGCAATCCTAGAGGGACATGGTTCGAATCCACCTGATGCTCTGCTGGAAAAGGAAGGACAATCTCCTCCTGTACCAATCAGATCTGATTTGATGGTACACACATAATAAATAATAATAATTTAAAAAGTGAATTGATATATCCACACAATAAATTACTATTCGGCACTAAGGTACAATGATTTCATAAAATACTATGTAACATGGTAGAGTATAGAGAACATTATGCTAAGTGAAATAACTCAGTCACTTTAGGATAAATATTGCTTAAGACCACTACTGTGAAAAATTGTAGGATAAATGAGCAAGATATGAAGAAATATTCAAAGGAAGTAAGCAAAGAGAAGAGGGAGCAGAAAAAGAGAAGGGGGAAAATCACTGGACTAGCAGAGGTGGGTGAACGTGGGCAGCAGTGAAGGAACTGGAAAAGTTTAATGGGGACTTGAAAAGGTGGGGTGACAAATGGCATCAAATGATAATTATATAATTTATATGAATTATTATATAAAACACAAGGTACATGAAGTATAACGTATGTTGTTGTTGTTAGGTGTCATCGAGTTGAGTATATCTCATAGCGACCCTATGAACAAAAGATAGGAACCCTGTTCTGTCCTGCACCATCCTCACACTTCCTGACACACAAGAGCCCACTGCAGCAGTCACCTTGTCAATCCACCTTGTTGAGGGTCTTCTTCTCCTTCACTGACCTCCTATCTTCCCAACATCATGTCCCTCTCCAAGGAATAGCACCTCCTAGCAATATGTCCAAAGATGTGAGACAAAGCCTCTATTCTTGCTTCCAAAGAGCAAATTTTACATTTTTTAGGGTAAATCATTTGGGTGTTTCTAATTGTGTAAGCTAGTGTAAGCTGATAAAGTATATCTGATCTCTTTTACAATCAGCTTAGGTGGGAAGCCTCCTGTGTAGGCAAACAGGATCTGGTGGGCCTTTGTATTTAAAAGTGATTGTGTTTTGAGAGAACATTGGTCTAAGTGGTGCAGTACTTATCTGTCAATTTGCTGTACTGCAATTATTTGGGGTTACTGTGATACTGAAATCTTTGCCACTAGTGTGTGGAGCTCCCTGATTAAGACAGACTAGGAAGCAGGATGGGCTATCTATTTCCTAAATAAAAGACTTTTGAAACAATATGTATGATTATATAAAACACAAAGTACATATATGAACACAAAATATATGAATGTTTGTATGAATCAACAATTTTTTTTTAAAAAAAATTCAACTAGAAAATTGTCTGAAAAGAAGAAGAAGCAAAGACTTTTAGAGGGTCCATTCATATGAAGAAATCTTTACCTGGATTTGCAGTTATCACAGCATTGTTCAGTTCCCATAATACCCATGGAAGCCTTTCGTAGATGTCTGTCTTCAAAATGAGACAAGATGATTCTATCCAAGAGAAAATTGAAAGTGAAATAAAAGAACAAAAATGTACATGTTAAATTATTTGCTGAAAATACTGATGTGAAATCATCATTAACTGATTCACCTGAGACCTCATTATTTGGCTTCAGTTTACTCATGCTCAAAGAGTGTTGTATTAAAAATTTAGCACATATGTAACATCAAGAGAATATTTTTTAAAAAATATGCATACCTCTGCTTAGCAGTGCTATTTTCTTAAAGTATCATCTATAAATACACGTTATTGACATCAAATAAGGAATACATACTGTCGTCTACACCTGCTCGAATGAAGGTATTTTTCCATCTTTGCCATCATCTTTAATTTGTACAATCGAAATTTTTCATTGCGTATTTCACTAAGGCGGTACCTGTCAAGGAAAAATCACATAGCAATATGTAAGGATTATATTAGCAGTTTTGACACTTAAATTTTATTTTTTATAACTTGCATAACCCACACTTCTATCAAAATAAGGGCCATTTCAATAACTAGAAAAGTTCCTAGGATGGTTGTAGTTTTAAGTAGATCAACTTATGATTCCTAGTTTAGCAGTTATGATGTACTCATTCCCACATGAGATTTAATATAATGTAATTCCCTTGACGAAAGCTGATATAGTATAATCTTCTCTGTGATGAAACTTCACTTCCATGATGAGATCAGTTATGAGCAGTCAAATGCAAGGGACTTTTTCTCAGGGGTGTGGCTCACATTGAATATATTCATAGGGATAAGTAGTAAAACTCTTGCTTTCTGTTCCATCTGAATCCTGCAACTGTCTTGTCTGTCACTATTTGGTCTCTATTCTTCAGACTTGAACCAATGGCCGGCCATACTGCTGGTCAATCCTAAAGTCACAGCCCATAGTTTAACCTGCAAATCTTGGGTTTAGAGACGCTGTAGCTCTAAGAGTCAGGAGAAACCTCAAGTCTGTTATCTGACTCCAGGATTGGTACTCATCAGCTTCTACCCGTGCATGAGCCATTACCTTGAGATCATTCTCTCTTTTTCTTTTTTCTATTTCTCTAAGATAAACTTCGTTGTTTTTCTAAAGAGCCTAGTCTGACTTCCTCTAACTTCAAAATGTAAAAGGAAAATTATTATCTACAATCCAAGGCTGAGTCCTAGAATAGGAAGTTAGTTTAGGTATACCTTACTTTAAAACTTTTTTACCAATTAAAAAAGCAATTGTCCCTCTCACAGTACTGTCTACTTCACTGGTTTTGATCATTCCTTGCAAGGTCATACAAAACTAATAAGCACTACTCATAATCTTAGAGTTTATTAAGAAAGTAAGAGGTTACAACTCAGGATTAGGAAGTCCTCAGGACTAACTTCTTCCTTTAAAACAGGCTTTTCACAGCTGGTTGTAGCACACTTCTCTCTGGCCATGGACCCGTCAGTCACCCTCTGCCTTGTGCAGGGAAGTAATACAGAGTGCTCTAGCTCCACCAGTGAATGCACTAGAACATTTCACTCTGCTAATAAGCATTACCCTAGAGACATTCAACTCTGTAGCCCCACGCATTGGCAAGTGTAGTTCAATCAACCAATGTCAGGCATCCCACTCCTCCAGCAAGCCTCCTTCCTCAAAATGATGAGCTTTACCGCTCAGTAAGTCAGCACTGTACCCATCTCATGCTCCATCTCACATACTCTGGGCATGCGGCAGGGAGGAACCAGTCCTTGGAGAAAAACTTTATGCTTGGAAGGGTGGAGGGACAGTACAAAAAGAGGAAGACCCTGGATGAGATGGATTGACTTAGTGACTGGGTCAGTGGGGGTAGGTGTGTTGGAGACAATGAAATTGGCTAAAGATGGAGCAGGATTCAGAGCTGTTGTACATAGGGTAGCCTATGAGTTGCAAGCAATTTGATGGCACTTAACAACATGTATGAATTTTATCTTTTCCCCTTAAAAAAAGGTATCATTGAGGGAGCTCTGGTGGCCTAGTGGCAAGATGCTGCACTACAATCCCAGAGGTACACGGTTCAAATCCACCAGATGCTCTGCTGGAGAAGGAGGGGGCAATCTCCTCCTGTACCAGTCAGATCTGATTTGACGGTACACATAAAAAGAATACAATAAAAATAATTTAAAAAAAAAAAGGTATCATTAATCTCTGATCCTTCTCTCTTCTCACTCATTTTGGCTGAACCCCTACGATTGCTTTAAGTTACAGAAATTTACAAAGATAATAATAAAATGAGTATTATGTGAAATTCTCAAATTAGAAAAGGCAGATCTCTAATGAGGATCTGTCATTCTCCTTGTATTATCAACTCTATTAAAGCATGTACCATATGTCCTGTTTCACTCAACACTGTATTTTCAGTATGTATTATTTGATATATTAGTATATATTATTTAATATATATATTACATTATCAACTCAATTAAAGCATGTCCTGTTTTACTCAACATTGTATTTTCACTATATATTATTTGAAATATAGTGAGCATTCCTTAAAAACTGTCTAATTAGCAAAACCAATTGTACTGCACAGGTTATTTAGAGGGGTATTCTAGGGGAAATACCCTCAGTTTGGAAAATCCATCAGTTACCACATACAGGCTTATTCCTAAACTTTTTTTTTATTAGCACATCAGGTGATAAATGTAGTTACCAAAATTTCTTATAAATGTTAGTCCATGCCTCCCTTGTAACATTGTTTTTATGTGCTATCAGGTTGAAACTGACTCATAGCTGACCCTCAAGCAGGTATCAGAGGCTGCATATTGCATAGAAGGCAATCATTCATCTTCCTCCAACAGAGCAGCTGGTGGTTTTGAATCATGTGCCTTTGGGTTGGCAACACAACTTCTATCCATTAGAGCTCCATTATGACCACAATTTCTGTCAAATATTCATTTGTGAAAAGATTTGCAAAGCTTTTTTTCTTTTTTTTCCCCCCCCCGAGACTGACTTTATCTAAGATGAACTGCATTGGGGAAGTCTGCTATCAGGGATTTCTCCACAGTGCTAAAGAGCAATGACATCAGTCTAGAGACCAAGGTGTGCCTGATCCACGCCATAGTCTTTGCAATTACTTACTATGCATCAGAGAGCTGGACAATAAGGCTGACAGAACAAGAATTGATGACTTAGAGTTGTGGTGCTAGAGAAGAGTATTGAACATAATTTTTTTTTTAAGAGAGTGGTTTTACTGTTAATAGGGTAAAATTTAAAAAATACTAACATTTCCAGAAGGAAGAACTTAAAATTTATAAAAAGTAATTTTGCTTCATTAATTCTTACTCTTTCATATCTCATCTTAACCATCACATCCTGAGGGAAATTTTATATGACCTTGTAAAAACCATCTATGATGGCTAAAGTGCCAGATCTTACACATATACGTACAAAGATGTTCTAGGAAAACTACAGAGCTCTTAGCTCTCACATGAATTTCAGTTCAAGGAACTTAACCCTGTGACATCTTGTATTGCCTGCCAGTCATGGAACCCATTAGCCTCTGTAGCTTGTGAGCCAGCAGCCTGCTGTGTGACCTGCTAATCTTGTGATCTGGCAGCCTCTACAATTTGTAAGCTAAAAGTTGGTTTTTCTGACTTGCCAATCTTGGATCCACCAATTCCTACAACTATGTGGGTCAGGAGAATTCTTTGGCCTAAATTCTAACACACAGACCTGGGACTTTCCAGCTTCTAGAACCGTGTGAGGCAGATCTTTCAGTATCTCTTACTCTTTAGATTATAGATACACATACAAGCACACAAACTTTATTATTTATGCCTCAGTCTAAAGCATCATCAAAGATTCATCATTTATTCTAATCATTCACTTCAAAGTTTTTATCACACTACTTACCACAGTTGAAATTTTACATATATTTGCACAATTCCTTTCTTTTTCTTCAATCATTCATATACATTTTGTTTATGATATTTTTTACATTTTGTTTTATAACATTTATTATAATAATATAGTGCAATTATTTACAGCATCTTTTCAAAACCTGTTGAACCCTCCAATTGATAAATTTGGTTCCCCAAATTTTGCAAGATAATATTTTTCTTCCCAGTATAAATATCACAGAACTTGAGTGTCAACAAAATACTTATTTAGCATTTACATGGAATGCTATGCTCTGTATTTTAAATACTACACATTATATTATTTTCATTGCCACTCAGTTACTAAAGTACAATGTGATTTTCACATAGTCAGTGTAAGCTGGCTTGGTCTGCAGAACTGGCCTAATATAAATGGTAAAGACCAGGAATCTAATAGGGGCTGGGAGAAGTCTTCTGGAATAAGCACCATGATAGCCGAGGAAGAAATAATCAATAACAAAATAAATTGCATCTAAAGTAAATAGGGCTAAAACTGTATCACAACTTAAAACACTCTTAAGGAAGCAGAGGGGAAGGTAAAAGTAAAAAACCTCTGATCCTTAATATACCAAACTAGTAATATGTTCCCCAAGATTTATGTTACATGCCCAATATAGAAATCACTCTAAATGGTGTGTGGTTAAAACCAGGTCAATGTTTCTATTTAGCAACATCACAAATGTTCTTTTTCGGTATCTTTTCTGCTTTTGGTCTTAACATGCTTTCAGAAATTACTTTATATTTTGGACAGTGCCTTAGATACTTTAAAAGAAAAATAATGTATGGAAAGAAAAAATTTGTAAGGGTAAAAACTAGAAATATTTTACCTATTGATATTAATGTCTGCTGGAGTCCAGAGCAGGTGACAAGAACTTTGAAGGCCATCACGGCCAGCTCGACCAATCTCCTGGTAGTATGATTCCATTTCCTTAGGAACACCATAATGAACGACTTTGCGAACGTCAGCTTTATTAATGCCCATTCCAAAAGCAATGGTAGCTATGACACACTGAAAATAAATAACAATTAAGTACGACACACATATTTAGCAGAATGGAAATGTTACATTTATAGTTTGTAATAAGTATACTTTTTGATCATTAAAATTATTCAACTTCTATAGAAAGTTTTTTAAAAAGGTTGCAAAACATTTATGAATATGAGGCACAAGAGTGACTATAAAAATACTCATTAAACTAAATGATACTTTATAATACTAAAAATTTTTAGGCATCCTTATCTATTGCAAATATCTTAATATTTATAAAATTACTCAAATAAGTAAGGAGAACAAACAGGTTCTCTGAGACTCCCATTCTTCTCAATGTTAGCATAATTTGCTATGATCTACACAATGAAATGCCTTTGTGTAATCAATAAGTTGACATTCTTCTGATATTCCCTGTCATCAGCTAAGATTCATCTGCTATCAGCAATAATATCCCTCATGCCACAGCCTCTTCTAAATCCAGCTTGAACTTCAGTCAGTTCCCTGTCTATACACTGTTTAGATATTTTTGGATAATCTTCAGCAAGATTTTACTTGCATGGCAATTAATGATATTGTTTGATAATTTCCACATCCTGCTGGACCATCTTTGTTGGGAAGGGGAACACATATGAACTTCTTCCATTCAGCTGGCCAGGCAGCTGTCTTCCAAATTTCATGGCACATACTAATGTGCATGTCCAGGGGTGCATTTGTTTGTTAAAACGTGTCAACTGGTAGCCCAACAATTCCTAAAGCCATATTTTTTGCTAATGCCCTTAGTGGAGAATGAACTTCTTCTTTTATTATCATTGGTTTTAAATAATATGCTATTTCCTAAAATAGTTCCTTTGTCAGCCAATTCTTGATATAGTGATCCTGTGTTTCCCCTCCATTTTCCTTTAATGCATTCTGGATCATTCAAAACTTTGCCCACTGGAAATCTGAATTTGATTTTTAGTTTTTTTCAACTTGATAAAAGCAAAGTCAGTTCTCATTTTATTCTCCAGCTGCAGCTCTTTGCATATTCCATTATAAGACTTGGCTTTGTCTTCTTGAGCTGACCTTTGAAATCTTCTGTTCAACTCTTATACTTCAGTATCTCTTCCCTTGTTTTGGCTTTTCGATGCTCTAGTGCAATTTTCAAAGTCTCTTCTGACATCCATTTTGGTCATTTCTTCTGTTTTTGTAATGATCTTTTGTTTTCTTCGTGGATATTATCTTTGATATCATTACAAGACTCATCTGGTCTTTCATTATTAGTGTTCAGTGTTTCAAACCTATTCTTGAAATGCTTTCTAAATTCAGTGGGAGAGATGCATGGGGTTCTTGTGGACTTGTTTTAAATTACTTCAGCTTCAATTTAAATTTGCACTTGACTGAATTGGTGGTCCCATTCACAGTCAGCATCAGGCCTGGTTTTGACTGCTGGTATTGAGCTCTTCCTCAAGATATCTTTCCACAGATGTACTCAATCTGATTCCTGAACAGTCCATTAAGTGAGGTCCATGTATAGTCACCATTTATGTTTTTAAAAAGTATATTTGCAGTAAGTAAATCCCAGATTGTACAAAATTTAATAACTCAATCTGCAGCATCATAAAACCATAGTGCCTTTATAAAAATAGATGGTAACAGACCAATTTATTCCTGGAATTCTATACTAAAATTCTTTTCCCTCATTATTTCTGCCCTTGCACACCTGATAAACTGCTATTCACATATTCAAACTTAGTCAGAGAGCATCTTCTTGGAAAGATTATCTCCATTCCACAGCCTGCTTTGGCAGAGATAGAGTGCTGCCTCCTCTGTGCATCTGAGGAATTAAGAAGTCACTATACATACTATCAGTTCACATACCAATCACATACATGCTTATGCTGAGCATAAAGAAAAGTAGTCAATAAAGATGTGATAAATGAATACTGGGGAAACATTTCTTTCCACGACAGAACATACAGTTTATTAATGATAATCATCCTACATACCTGAATTTCATCTCTCATGAACCTATGATGAATTTCCTTCCGTGCTTTAATACCCATGCCTGCATGATACGTTCCACAGGATATTTTCAGTTTCCTAAGTTCAGCTGTAACTTGTTCAGTCATTTTTCTGGATGGGCAGTAGATGATAGTTGGACCTTCAAATTCCCAGGCAGAACTAAATAAGAACAAAACAATCAAGACAAAAGAACCAACATATATATGTGAGTTCCAGATCACTTTGAATTTTATTTTCCAAGTAAAAGACCAAAAGGAGAAATATTTTTTTAAAAAAAGGCTACAAACAACATAAAAATTTAAAATTTATAGACATACACATGGAAATAAATTCTTTTAGCTTCAATATCTTGGATGTCTTTATGATTAAAAATGAAGTTACAAACAGACACCAGTTTTCTTGTTTTAGCAGAACGCTTAAGAAAGCATTTATAAACTACTCATATAAAACCTCTTAAAAATGGGAAGTATTTTTAGGTTACAATTAGTCTTTTTTCATAAAACGTATAAGTTACTATTTACATAGAAGTATGAATAAAATTTCTTCCAGAATTCTGATTCTCTCTTAAAATCATAAAACATAGTTTCTATATCTGTTAAGTAAAAAATGACACAACATATTTTATATCTAGTAAATAGTATAAGTAATACTAAGAATATTCTAAAAAATGAGATGTTAGAATGTGTATAGTGCAACCTATGCTTATTTACTTCAAACACAAATGAAAATTTCTACAGAATATGTATTTATTTACATTATATATTCATTTATATTATAACTCATATTGACTTATTCAATATAAAAAGATTTTATTGACCATCTTTAGAATATCATTTTAAAGTACTTTGAGGAGTTATATTACAAAAATACTTGTATAAATGTCAAAGATATGCATGTTTTAATATTTATAACACTGTAACATAAAATGTTCAAATGTTCACTATGTACAAAGACAGGCAATGGCCTACATGATTTACAATGTCAGAAATTCAATGGAGGGTCAACTATGATCTGATGCCTTAATATTAAGTGTTGTATTATCACCATCAGGTTGGCTCCACCCCATAGCGACTCTATGCACAACACAATACAACACCACTCCATCCTGCCTCATCCTCACCACTTCTACTGTTATTAAAGCCATTGCTGAAGCCACTGTGTCTTCTTCTCTTCTGATGTTGCTTACTTTAAAACATCATTTCCTTCTCCATGGATTGGCTACTCCTAAAAGCATGCTCAAAGTTTATGTGGTAAAGCCTCACTATTCTTAGCTCTCAGGAGCACGCTGGCTGTACTTTTTTTTAAAGACATATTTATTTGTTCTTTTGCCAGTCCATGGTATATTCAATATTTTTTGCCAATACCACAAATCAAAGGCATCAATTCCTTCTTGGGTTTTCTTACTCATCATTTAACTTTCACATGCATATAAAGCAAGTGAAAATACTATGACTTGAGCCATGTTCACTTTAATCCTCAAAGTGATGGTTATGCTCTTGAGCACTTGAAAGAGGTCCTTGCATATTTCGTGAATACAATGGATTTACTTGTTGGACCCTGCTTCCGTGGCTATTGATTGTGTACACAAACAAAATGAAATCCTGGACTTCAATCTTTTGTCTAACATGATGTTTTGTTGTGTTTTTTGTGGTTTTTTTTTAATGTTGAAAACTAATCTATATTGAAGGCTATATCCTTTAGGCTTCATCTGTAAATGCTTCAAATCTTAATTTTCTGCAAGCCAGACTGTCATCTTGTAAGCATATTTATTGCAGGCTCTTAATGAGTTTTCCTTCTATTCTAATGTGTATTCTTTTTCATATAATTAATACTCTCAGATAATTTTCTCAGCTCATAAACTGAGCAAGTCCAGTGAAAGGATACAGTCCTGATGCAAAATACCTGAGGCTGAATTGTCTGACTCAAATCTCTGTCTCTTTTTATTGCTGCTGCATTGAAACTAACTCATAGCTGACCTTCAGTGGATTCTCAAGGCTGGAAAGATCATGAAAGAGACTGCTCATCTTTATCCCAAGGAGGTGGTGGATTAAAACTGACAAAGATGTGCTGACTTGGGGTTAGCAGTACCTCCCTAAGGATTATGCAACCACCGTCCTCAAGTAAAGATAAAAAAGAATTTTTTGCACCTCGTCCAATTTTGCTTCTTCTTCAAAAAGACATGCATATGATGACAGATGTGGAAGCTATGTAATCATCTTCCATGATCTGTTAAACCTAATAGTTGTAGGAGGATTAAGGGTAGGATTGTAATATTCCTTATAGTTGTTGATGTTGTTGTTATTACATAACATTGAGTCAACTATGACTTATAATGACCCTATAAACAAAAGGTTCAACCTAGCCCTATTCTGAACCAGCTTCACTATCTCTGACACATCTACCTCCATTACCCCAGTTACTGTGTTAAACCATCTCATCCAGGATCTTCCACTCCTATGCCGTCCCTCCACCCCTCGAGCTTGATGTCGTTCTCTAAGGACTCATCCAGTCTAAACACATGTCCAAAGTATGCGAGCTGGAGTTTCAAAATCCATACTCTAAGGAACAACTTAGTTTCACCATCTCTAGGACAGATCTGTTTGTTCTCTTGGCAGTCCATGGTATGTTCAATACTCTTCTCCAGCAGCTCAACTAAAAAACACTGATTCTTCTTTTGACATCCTTAGTCTCTATCCAGCACTCAGATGCCTAGTAGCAAATGGGAAGACCCTGGCTAAGATTAGGCACACTTTAGTCTCTAGACTAAGAATTGGCTGACACAGAACAATTTTGTGAGGTAGCATAGGATCAAGAACCAATGGTAATAAAGGAAGAACTTCAAGCATCTCTAATGGAATTAGCAAAAACATGGCCTCCAGAGTTGGTGGAATAGCAACTGACCAAGAGATATAGCCCTGGACATGCTAACCAGGCTCTGCCTGGATATTTGGAAGAAGCTACCTAGCCAAATGACTGGAAGAGATCCATATTTATTCGCATCCCCAAAAAAGGGTAAAACAATAGTGTGGAAATGATTGAATTCACTAGTATCATATGCATGCAACATCTTTCTGAAGATTATCCAAAAATGACTAGAATAGTACAATGACAGAGGACTGCCAGAAACATAAGCTGGGTTCAGAAGAGTCTGTGGCACTAGGGATATCATTGCTAATGTCAGCTGGATCTTGGCTAAATGCAGAGTCAGAAGAATGTCTGTAACACTCCTTAATCCAATCTAAACGCTAATGTGATGTAAAGTGACTTCTCCTAGGGTGTGGCCTATAATGCCTTTATATAAAATAAAGTTAAATGTGAGCAGAAGAACGTAAGTCAAGATGGGGGGGACGACCTTTAATACCACCAAGAAACAAACAGGATGAAGTTTATCTATTTTTGATTCAGGCCCTTGAATGACTCCTTTCCATCAGGGAAGGATTGCATGAGGGAGTTCCTTGACATACCTGGCAGTCTGCAGGGAGGGCAAGGTCTCCAGATACTGAAGAAAACAAGGACTTTCCTGAATAACTGACAGAGAAAGAAGGCCCTCCCCTAAATCTAACACCCTGAATTTGGATTTCTAGCCCTCTAAGCAGTAAGAGAATAAAGTTATATTTGTTAAAAAACCATCCACTTGCATTATTTCTTATAGTAGCACTAGTTAACTAAAACACACAGCTTTACTAATTTTAAACCACCTCTCCAGAATAGTGAAAAGCAACGATGTCAGTGTAGAGACTAAGGTGTGCCTAATCCAGGTTATGGTCTACACAATTACTTGCTATGTATCATAGAGCTGGACAATGACTAAGAATGACAGAAAAAAAATCGATGCCTTCGAGTTGTAGTGCTGGAGAAAAGTCTTGAACATTCTGTGGACCACCAAGAAAACACAGAGGTCTGACTTAGAGAGGGGGAAACCAGGTTCCTGCTTGAAAGTTAGGGTTTTGAAGCTCCATCTCACATACTTTGGGCACATGGCCTGGAAGAACAGGTCCTTAAAGAAGGACACCATGCTCAGAAAGATGGGGGGACAGCGCAGGAGAGAAAGACCCCAGATGAGATGGACTGATACAGTGACAGGCAATGTGGGTTGGTTTGTTGGAATCACTAAGACTGGCTCAGTCCTGTACAGAGGGTCACTATGGGAGGCAAACGACCAGACAAAACATAACAACAACATTTCTTTGTTCTGTTCAAACAACTACTTTTTCTAAATGAAGACTCCACAGGAATGCAATCAAGTCCTCTGGAATTCCCATTCTTCTCAATGTTATCCGTAACTTATTATGATCCGCATAAGCAAATGCCATTTGTATATAGTCAATAAAACATAGGAAAACATCTTTCTGGTAATCTCTGCTTTCCACAAGATCTACCTGATGTCAGCAATGACATCCTTAGTTCTTAGAATGCAGCTTGAATTTCAAGCATTCCCTATTGTTATAAACTGAACAAACCTCATGTATATAAATTGAAATGTATATCCCTCAACCTAATAAGCTAGTTTTAAGAGAATGAAGGGCAGAATGTGGAACACACTTAATTCTATTGCAACTCTGAACTAATATGGTGTGTCCATAACAACCCTTATGTCAGGAGAGATAAATGGGGAAAGATAAGGAGGAACTCAGTATAAGAACCAAATCAGAAACGCTAGGAGCTGAGTACATATTTTAGATGCAGGTTTCCACTTTGGAAAACTCGTTGACAAAGGGATAAATGAAGACAGTTAAAGATTGTCAAGGAATGCCAAGCCTAGAGATGGCAAAGGAAACGAGGATTTTCCTCTAGAATCAAAAGAGAAAGAATCTAAAGCCAACAACCTAAATTTAGACTTCTAAACTCCTAAAATGTAAGAGAATAAATGTGTTTGCCAAAGCAATACACTTGTGGTATCTCTGCTGTCGCAGCACTAGCCCTAAAACTTCTGTTTTTCAATGACTACCCCAGCCATTTTTAAGTTATCTTCAGCAAGATTTTATGTGCATGAAATATACTCTATTCCATAATTTCTGCATTCTGTTGTATCACTTTTGCTTTTCTTTGAAATGTGCAGAAATATGGATTGCTTGCAGGCAGCTGGCCAGGTAAGCCATCTCTCAAATTTCTTAGTGTGCATAAATAAGTGAGCGTGTCCTATATTGCATCTGTCAAAATATTTCAGTTGACACTCTAGCCTTTCCTTTGGTTTTTGCTAATGCCTGCAGGTACAGCTTGAACTTCTTCCTTCAGTGCTACTGGTTCTTGATGATCTGCTACTTCCTGAAATGGTAAAGCTGCTCCTTTTGGTACAAGACCCTGTGTATTCCAGCTATCATCTTTTGACGTTACTTGTGTCATTCAATAATTTACCCATAGCATCTTTAGGCTTAAAACCCAATTTTACTTCAGTTTCCATAGCTTGATAAATGCTGAGATGTCCTTCGCTTTTGGCTTTCTAATTTCAGGTATTTGCACATTTTATTATAACTGTTTTGTGTTCTTGAGGTATCCTTTGAAATCTTCTGTTCCATGCTCTTATATCACCATTCCTTGCATTCACATTAGGTTTTGTACATTCTTTAGTAAGTTGCAGAGTCTCTTCTGACATCCACTTTGGTCTTTTCTTTCTTCCTGTCTTTTTAATGACCTTTTGCTTTCATCAATCACTCTATATTATCCCACAGCTTATCGGGTCTTCAGTATTTAATGCATCAAATTTATTCTTGAGATGACCGCTAAATTAAGTTGAGATATCAATGTTGTATTTATTAGACATATAAATAGTAACCTGGTAGAACTCAGATGACAGGTTCATTTTTCTTGCATACTTGTCAATTATTAAAAATATATGTCCTGTACAAATATCGTATTGAGTATTAAAATAACAATCATCTTCAAGAAATATTCTTTCTTCACTAATTCCTCAGTGACTGAACTGATTATATAACATCATGCTCAGGTTGAATCAACGTTGTTGTTGTTGCTGTTGTTAGGTGCCATCGAGTTGAGCATGACACACAGGACCCTATGAACAAAAGATCTGAACCCTGTCTTGTCCTGCACCATCCTCTCACTTCCTGACACACAAAAGACCACTGCAACAGTCACCGTGTCAATCCACCTGGTTGAGGGTCTTTCTCTCCTTCACTGACCTTCCACCCTTCCCAAAAACCTGTTCCTCTCCAAGGAAAAGTATTTGAGGCAAAGTCTCATCATTCTTGCCTTCAAAGAGCACTCCAGCTGCACCCTCTCCAAAACATATCGGTTCGTTCTCTTGGCCGTCCATGGAATGTTCAGAGCTCTTCTCCAACACAACAACTCAAAGGCATCAATTCTTATTCTGTTATCCTTATTCACTCTACAGGTCTCGATGCATAGCTAGTAATGGGAAAGACTATGGCCTGAATCAGACCCACCTTAGTCCTTAAACTGGCACCACTATTCCTCAATAGTTTGGAAAGGTCCTTAACTGCAGATAGGCCCAGTTCAACACATCTTATTTCCTGTCTGCTCGTACCAAGGGTGTTAATCATGGATCCAAGCAAGAATAAGCTGTTGATAGTTTTAATCTCATCCCCATCCATCATATCAATGTTATTAGGTAGAATTTGAAATAAGTATGTTAAATATGCATTGAAGGAAATTTAAAAAATAGCAAATTTTTAAAAAGAAAGAAATAATTACCAAAATTCATCAATCATTAAAACATTACCTTTCATTTTTTATAAGAAATTGTTTCAGGTCCTGGAGGATATTTCCTGTTTTACGTCCAACTTCTAAATATAAGTTTGGTCGATCAAAACCAGTACAGGTAATCTGAGGAGTCTTTAATTTTAAGCAACGTACAATATCTTCTCGGATTGCAGAACTTGCAGTAGCAGTCAGTGCAACAATTGGAACCTGAATTAAGCAAAATTTACTTTAAAAACAGAAGCACTCATTAACTCCCCACATTTTTCTTGTCTCCTTACAAAGAGACTGAGGAGACAACTAACAGATGTTTGATACTAAAATTCAGTCATAAAATTCCTTTAAAAAATTCAACCTGTTTTTCATCGCATTTGACACATCAGTGTCACAGTATTTGTATAGCGCTGGTCTGTCCATTTGCTGTACAGAGGTAAATCATGGTTGCTGCAATGCTAAACACTGTGACACTAATGTGTCAAATGTGATAATGGTTACCCATGGTGGATAGTCTTTGGTGGAGCTTCCCGATTAAAATAAGCTTGGAAGCAGAGTGGCATCCACTTCCAAAATAGCTTGCCTCCAGAAACACTATGAACTTGGAGAAATGATAAAAGTTATACAAGTGTTCACATCTTTTATTCATAGGGTCACTATGAGTTGTATACAACTTGATGGCACTTAACAACAACAACAACAACCTGCTTTTAGATTTGTGAGTACTCTATTTACTAAGAAAATACATTCACAAAAATAATTTACATTAAAGTTTTCCAAGTGTAATTCACTTCCTTTCATTAAACTCACCCTGTTTAGCTACCTATCTTTTGTTTGTTATGTTTAACATTTATTACATCTCTAACAGCTTTAATAGACAAAAGTATGCAACATCCTATTTTTATTGATTGGTAATCTAAAATGATAAACCCTTCATATGATTGAAAATGTTGAGTACACAAAACAATGAGTCTTCACTCCCTCCAACCCCCACTATATTAAACATACACAGAAAAGCTATGAGCAAGATTTGAACTTGGGGTGTAGTTGTTATGTGTAGGGCTGCAAACTGAAAGGTGGTAGTTTTAATCAACCAGGTGCTCCACAGGAGAAAGATGTCAATCTTGTCCCTTACAGGATTACTGTCTCTGAAACCCAGTGGAGGGTGGCCATGATGAGAAATGGGTGTGGCAGTACAAAGGGCTACATTCAACTACTAATCTAAAGGATGGTGGTGCAAACCAATCCCGAGGCATGGTGGAAGAAAAGCCCTGGGATCTGCTTCCATAAAGACTGCAGCCAGGGGGCAGCTTTACACCCAGTTACCATGGCACTGAATCCGTTCAACAGGTTTGGTCATTGGATTTACACTTGGCATAAATTCTTAGATCTAAAGGCGCTCTGATGGCCTAGTGGCAAGAAGCTGCACTGCAATCCGAGAGGTACGCAGCTCGCAGCTAGAATCCACCAGATGCTCTGCTGGAGAAGGAGGGGCAATCTCCTCCAGTACCAGTCAGATCCGATTTGATGGTACACACACAAAAATAATAAAATAAAAAAATTTGAATTAAAAAAAAATTCTTAGATCTAGACGCTCCTAGACACTTCTAATGGCCTAGGGCACCACCCTCTAACACTACTAAATAAATCATGGCATGCTATGCCAAAAATACAACATATATTATTAATTCACTCTTTTGAGTAGCCAAATCATGTTCTATTTTCTATCGAGTAAATACTACTTGACTAGATTAGCAGTAAGCACAGGAGGCACAGCAGGAATCAAGAAAAATACGAATATGCAATCTTCCTGAAATTCTAAAGTAGGACAACTAAATACCTTCTATAAAAGTAGGTTTACTATTTCTATTCCTATTCTCATGAAAAAAAATTATCATCAATGATGTCACTACTCGACAATCAGGAAAAAAATCCACAAAGTCTTAAATTCATTTTTACATCCTTAGCAGTTCTGTCTCTAAAATAACAAAAGTATTCTTATTTTTTAAAGTAGTCCTAGGGAGCTCTGGTGGCCTAGTGGCAAGACGCTGCACTGCAATCTCAGCGGTCTGCGGTTCAAATCCACCAGATGTTCTGCTGGAGAAGGAGGGGGCAATCTCCTCCTATACCAGTCAGATCTGATTTGACGGTACACATAAAAAATAATACAATAAAAATTTAAAAAAAATTTTTTTTAAAGTCCCTTAGAACAGATTTTTGTATACTGCATTATATCTCACAAATAAGCTTATGACAAAATCTTATATATAAATGAAAATTTTTGTAGCTCTGAGGCCATAGCGGTAAAGAGCTGTGCTGCCATCTCAAAGGCAAGCAGTTTGAATCCACCAGCTGCTCCATGGAGAAAGAAGGGCAACCCTCACTCTTGTGATTAAATTGCCTCCGGAAGCCTGCTGCATGATCAGCTATGCGTCGGTTCTGACTCAATGGTACACAACAACAAACGAAACTTTATGTGCAATTTGCCAATTCGCAGAGAAGTATAAAATAAAATTTAAAATTGAAACGAGATAGAATTTATTATAATCAGTATAAATGAATTAAAATTACCTCAAAACTAAGGTAAGAAACAGGATCAATAACGTACAGAGATAGTTTTCCTAAAGTTTAAGACTACTGATATGCAAGTGCAATTTAAAGCTAAAGAAGGTCAAAGCAAATACACAGGAATCAAAATTTGATTTTGAGTCTATATACCACCTGAATTTAAAAACGAACTAAGGAATAGATTTGAGGACTTCAACACTAATGAACAGAGACCAGATGAGCAGTGGGAGGATATCAAGAATATCATCCAGAAAGAATGCAAAAGGTCATCACAAAGACAGAAGAAGAAAAGGCAAAAATGGATGTCAGAAACAACTGAATATTGCACTAGAGCACCAAGAAGCCAAAGCAAAGGGAAGAAATGAAGACGTTAAGGAGCTGAATAGAAGATTTCAAAGAGCACCATGAAAAGACAAAGTAAAGTATTATAATGAAATGTGCAAGGTCAGGGAATCAAAAAGGCTGAACTCACTCAGCATTTCTTAAGCTAAAAAAACTAAAGAACAAATTCAAGCCTCAAGTTGTAATACATATAATGCTATGGCAAAGTATGGAATGATCCAGGAAGCATTAAAAGAAGATGAAGGAGTATACAGAGTCATTGTACCAAAAAGAATTGGCTGACACAAATTAATTTCATGAAACAACATGTGATCAAGAGACAATGGTGATGAAGGAGAGGTGCAGTCTGCTCTGAAGGAATTGGCAAAAAATAAGGCCCTAGGAATTGATGGAATATCAATTTACATATTTAAACAAACAGATGCTGCCCTGGATATGCTCACCAGGTTGTTCCAAGAAATCTGGAGGACAACCACCTGGTAATCAGACTGGAAGAGATCCATATTTATTTCCATTCCAAAAGAAGGTGCTTCAACTGAATGTGGAAATTATCAACTTATCAAGTATCACTTATATCACACAGAAGCAAAATCTTGCAGAAGATTATCCAAAATTGACTGGAACAGAGAACTGCCAGAAGTACAGGTAGTATTTAGAAGAGGTCATGGCACTAGAAACATTACTGCTAATGTCAGATGGATCTTGGCAGAAAGCAGAGAGTACCAGAGGAATGTTTATCTGTATGTCATTGATTATGGCATTTGATTATTAGATCACAACAAATTGTGACTGACCTTGAGAAGAATAGTAATCCCAGAACATTTGATTGTGCTCATGCAAAACCTATACTTGGAGCAGGAAGCAGTCCTCAGAACAGAGCAAGGAAACACTGCAGGGTTGAAAATGAAGGAAGGAGTGTGTCACGGTTGCATCCTGTCTCTATACTTTTTCAATCTGTATGCAGAACAGATCATTCAGGAAGCAAGGCTTTATGAGGAGAAATGTGGCACCAAGATTGGATGAAGACTGATCAACAACCTATATTATGGAGATGGCACAACCTTGCCTGCTGAAACTGAGGAAGACCTGAAGTGCTTGCCACAGAAGGTCAAGGACTGTAGTCTTCAATATGGATTGAAGCTCAACATAAAGAAGGCAAAGATTCTGACCACTGGGCCAACTGGCAGCATGATGATATATGGAGAAAAAAAATTGAGGTTGTTAATCACAGCTTACGCAACTCCACAATCAACACTCTGGGCATCAGTAGTAAAGAAATCAAAAGATGAATTGCACTGGGAAAATTTCCTGTCAGGCATCTCTACAGAGTTCTGAGAAACAATGAAGTCATACTAAATAATAAGGTGCTCCTGATTCGGGGGTTTTTGCAATTACTTGGTATGCATCAGGGAGCTGTACAATGACTAAGGATGAGAGAAGAATTGATGCCTTTGAGTTGTGGTGCTGGAGAAAAGTCTTGAACATACCATGGATGACCAAGAAAACAAATAAGTCTGTAGTCCTTGGAGAAAGACATCAATGCTTGGAAGAGTGGAAGGACAGTGCTGAAAAGGAAGGCCCTGGATGAGATGAAGTGATCCACTAATTAAGGTAATGAAGGTATATATATTGGAATCAGTGAGAGTGGCTAACAATAAGGCAGGCTTCAGAGCTCTTTGTACACAGAGTCACCACATAACAATAGCAAGTTAAAACCAGTTTTAGGTTTACTGGCATGACTTTTGAACCTACGAGTTCTAAGGGAATTCTAGTGGGAGAGTCTATAAGTAGGCGCACAATAATCTAAAGGCTGCACCTCTCCAGAAGTTCAAATACATCAATGGCTCCTTGGGAGAAACAAAGGCAATTTCTTCCCTTTTAAAGCCTCAGAAACACAATGAAAGATCAGTAATGAGTCCATCCTGATTCAGTGGCAATCAGAATTGAACTAATTATTATGATTTCATAATGATTTTAACATATAGTCCCAAAATTAATTTCATTAATTTTTGCTTAAAATCAAATGACTTTCTGTATTTAAAGATGATTGTGTGACAGCTTTATACATAGCAGGCCAATTTATAAAGGCATTTGTTTCTCTATATAATTTGTGTTAATAAGCATACAAACAAGCCTGAGAATTAGAATAAAGTTCGAAAATTATAAGATCTTAAGTCATGTACTTTGCTTCTCATAATAAAAAAGCATTTTAATCAATCAAGTGCATTAATCAAGAACTTATATATGTATGAACAAAATACCTGCTATTTAACTATTGTTATTCTTGTTATATGCTGTTGAGTCAC